GACTGGATGATCTGGTGAACTGGAAAGAGCCTTGAGATGACATGATGTGAATTGGAGCTATAGAAATAAACTGAATTGAAAATCAGAGAATAATAAGTAAATGTAAGTAGGTAAGTAATGACGGTGGAAAAAATGTTTGCCCCCTGACTCAAACATGAAAGAATTTTGTCCACTATACTTTTTATTTACACAGCATAGATGTTTAAATGTATGCATCTATTTGTTAGCAAAGGATGTAGGAAAGTATATGTTGTCCTAATTTAGAAAAAATGATGCTGTGGTCATTTGATCATTGCAGATTGACCCAGAGGATCTGACTCCTGTCAGCTTTCGACCAGCCCTCAGCGTACATTGGTTATTGCCTGGCCACCCTTATTAAAATGTTCTTATTAAATGCTGTGGGAACGCCTTTGCTGGTTGACCCGCTAAATTAGGTGATACCATTGAACGCAGTGTACGGACTAGAGACTGACACGGGAGTGGATTTTCACTCCTGTCCCGTCCCACTCCTGGTGAAATTACCCCCACTCCCATTCTTGTTGTTTTTGAGCGCAGGTGAAAAACTCAGAGCGGAAGCACTGTTGGTTTTTGGGTCGTGTAGTTTTTTTGACTCGCATTATAGTGTAGGCTTCAAGGAAAAAAACTACAAAATGGCGGCGCCAGTACTGGATTTTTTTTTCTTTTTATTTTATTTTTTGGCATCGATCCTAGTTTTTTTTTTTGTAACTATTGGTTTGCTCCCGCTCCCATCTGCTCCCGTTAATGTTTGATCCTGTACCGTCCCAATCACGTGATCGTTACTAATACTGACTCCCGAAAAAATGTCAGTCTCTAGTACGGACGTTAACACTGCGCCAGTCGGTTCTGATCTAACAAGCGGAAACAACTCTGTTTACATGCGATAAACATGGAGCAGCTCTGCTGACAGGTATTAAGACAGATAGTACAGCGAAACAATAAAACACCCTGACTACGCCCTGGCTTCCTTCCATGTTGCTCTCCATTTTCTACTTGCCTGATTTATGTTGAACTGATGACATCACAAGCACTAACATAGCATTATGGTTTCACTAGACGCGCAGCTGCCAGTGAGGGTTTAGACCAGCTTCTATTGCCAATAGGAAGGGAGCCAAATGCTGATTGTTACTGGGTCGACCCATGATTGAAAAACACGAGTGAATCTCCTATTTTCAGTGGAAAAGAGGCTTTAAAGAACTTGGTAGACAGACATCATGCAATCCTTTTCAAGCCAAAATCAAATCATACAAACAGTAGCAGTCATTCAAAATGGCCTTTCCGTCCGGTGTGCGGGTGGCGAAGTGGTTGGTGTGTACGACCCATGTACGGACGCTTTAGTCCTTCACACGGCTGATCCTTTGCTACAAGTCTCTCCCCCTCTCTAATACTCCTTTTCCTGTAAGCCTACTGTCAGAAAAAAGAGCCACTAGTGCCGTAAAAACCCTAAAAAAGAAAAAAAAAATCCCTTCCTAGTAAAATGCCAAGCACATGGCAGCCAAGTTCCAGCCACTGGAGTGACTCCCTCTTGCATATTTTTTTACTCCCTTTCA